ACAGCCCTGTTATGTAGCCAAAACTTCACCGCTACTGAAACTATAAACGCTTGAAGCCTCATGTTTCACTGGGAACACAAAGAACGCAAAAAAGGCTGTAGATCACCGTGTTGACATCAAAGTGTTAAACATTAGATTGATACTGTCTAAACAGAAGTTGGTTGCAGGTGGTTCAGACATTTGATGTATTTGTAGTATAAAGCTTGAATATTTAATTAAGAACTAATACATCCAATTTTTTTTTTCAAATTTTTCATTCATGTATTGTATATATGTTTATTTGTTTAGGTAATGGATCGTATATGGAAAGAAGAAGGCATGGATATGTGTTTAACATCTTATGGTTGTTTTGCAACTGGTTATGAAATGGGAATTATTGAAGCTGTCCGTGATTCACGTACAGTTATGTCTATACAAGGTGAACGTTTACGTTCTGCTTTACAAATTGATTCAACACAATTATACAAGTGGTTATCACAACATGCTAAACAAAGAGCAAGACAAATGAATCAATCACCATTCGGTGAAAATTCTGTCTATGAACGTATGATACGTACATTCACTATGTCATGTGCTGGTTATTGTATTGCTACATTTATTTTAGGTATACGTGATAGACATCCAGATAATATAATGGTTGATTCAACTGGTCGATTATTTCATATTGATTTTGGACATATATTAGATAATCGTAAGAAAAAATTTGGTATTACACGTGAACGTGTACCGTTTGTATTGACAAAAGACTTTATTACTGTAATAGCACGTGGTAATCCAGATGCTGCTGTTGGTGCAACAATGATTACAACGCCATCAACGACAACAAGTACAATAACAAATAGTAATTTAACTGTGAATAGTACAATATCTATTAGTAACAGTAATAGTAGTATTAGTGGTGGTGCCGGTGGGGGTGGTTATACTAATCATGCATATAATAATATACACTTTCAAGAATTCACTGATCTCTGTGGTAAAGCCTATCTACTGTTACGTAAACATTCAAATCTTATACTGACTTTGTTAGCTATGATGATCCCGTCTGGTCTACCTGAATTGACATCAGTATGTGATTTAGAATATGTTAGAAAAACTTTAGCTGTTGATATTGACAATGAAAAAGAAGCCCTGGAATATTTTCATCATAAGTTCAATGAAGCGTATTCCGGGGCATGGACTACAAAAATTGACTGGTTCTCCCATTGGATGAATACATAATCCTCTTTTTTTATATATACAGAAAAAAAAAAACAACCGATAGAAGATGCTTCTATTTATGATCATTAATATTTCTTCCTTTTTTTAAATAATACTCAGCGCTTTATCTTCTTTTATCATGTTGTTGCCTTTTTATAATTTTTGCAGCATATTTTAAAGTTTTCAACCTGCTGAGCATGTAATAATATCTGAACTTTAGTCAAGATGTTATTTTGACGATAAATAAATAAACTTTATACCTAAAAATGATTTCTTCCCTCTAAAAAATAACTTCCATATGGTAGGAGTTTGACAGTATTACATATCGGAGTAAGTAGACAATACATATATATATATATATATAAATTCACGACTTTGCGTTTAAGCATACCATCAGTCTGCATACATATCACATAAAGTCTGTACTATGAAACAGGAGTAATTCTTCCGTAATATTTTTTTTCCTTCACGTTCCCCAGTGGAACATAGGGCTTCAAGCTAGTGGCTTGAAGTTTCTGTAGCAGTGTTTATTTTACAGGATGGGGTTGCTGGCCACATGCCCAACCTTTCCTCTTCACCAGCATTATTTCTGGCTTAGCGAGGTAAAGGAGTGCGTCGGCCGGGGATCGAACCCCGGCACATGTGCATTGTCGGCGAGCGTCCTAACCGCTATACCACCAACGCACACTTCCATAATATTACTAATGTAAAACCGAATTTTTGTAGGGTCATATTTGTTGCACTGAATGGTTGTATTTCATATTCATCAATTTGTGTCAGCGTTGATATATAAAGTGTTGTTAAGGGTAAGCCAACTCAATTACGTTAATAAATATAAAATTAGCAAGGGAATAATTCTCTTCAAAGAATTAATTTTCAAGCGGTAGAGTTGTATTCATGTTAGGCAGAAAAGTAGAGAAGCATAATAAAATTCCCCAGTCAATACGCGCTGTAGATTAGATCACGAAATGAAATCAGCTAGAGAAAGTACTTGACAGCTGTTATATCCTCGTTCGAAACTCTTCACTAGTACGTATATAGGGCACAGCCGGAGATCAGGTTACAAGGTGATTCCGTTTATTATTCAATCATTGGAAGGGAACCCAATGGTCCATGAGTTCTATTATCAGTATTATTGTTCCCTTCAGTTCCGAAGGGAACACAGGGATTCATTGTACGTCTCCACTTTGTCCTATACTCTGAGATCCTCTTTAGTTAGTCCCACGACTGCCCACATACTTTTTGATCTCCTCTTAAGACCATCTCTATGTTTCCTTTGGATGCCCCACTCGAGGTGAGGTTGCTAGCCTCATGGGCAACTTTCCCTCTTTACCAGCTTAGCAAGGTCTACGAGTGCGTCGGCCGAGGACCGAACCATGGACCACATGAGGCGTGGTCGGCGAGCGGTCTACCACTGACACGTAATCATCTATATTCTTATTATAAGATTTAATAGTATGGAATATTCCCATATCATGAATTAAAAGTCAATCTGAACGAAGAATATTCTTTTCAGCTTCTTACAATTATAAAATATAATATTTGTTCCCGTTACAATAATGGCCAGTTATGCGGCGGATACATTTTTTACGTGGAAAAACAGATTAGTTATGGGGTGTCAAAATAAATAGTCGTATTTGTGTGACAAACGTGCTAGGCTGAAATCGATTACAAAATATTGTGATTAGTCATAATAGATTCGTAGAATGTGGGGTAGGAAAATTGACAAGTCAGTTCAAGGTTACAAAAGGTGTCAGGTGACTGGTTAGTTCAAAGTGGTATGTATTAAAGAGGAGATAGTAAGACTGCAATGACAGGTTCATAATGAAATATTGTTATTAACAAAGATAAGAGACACTAATATGTATAAAACTTAGGTAGTATAGTCGTATGTAATCTTCGTGTTAATTGGATATGTCACACGGTGAAACACTATTTTTTGCTAGTTGACGTTTCGAAAGCAATTTATTGTTCATATTCATGATCAATTGATATGATTATGAACAAAATTTTCTGTTCGGAAGGTCATCCGGTAAATAATATTGTTCCACTGTGCAATACATCCAATAAAGATGAGAGGCGTCATTCAGTATCTGTGCATCGTTGGTTCAATTGTAGAATACTCGCCAGCCAAACGGGAGGCCCTGGTTCTATTTGCCGTCGACGGACTGCCAAACATCACCGAGTTTACTATTCCAGTAAAGAGGCGAGGTTGGGTATGGGGTTACCAATCCCACCTATTTTAAAACAACATCGTCACAGAAAATCTGAAACTGGAAGCCCTATGTTCTACTCGAAACGCAAAGAATGAAAATATAAATGGTGTATGACTTTATGAAATTGAAAGCCATACGTTACACATCCTGCCAGACACACTTTTCCAACAATGTGTAACTAAAATATGGTTTTGGTTATACTTTTTGGCCTACTGATTCTCAGCGTTTTATCTACAAATTCTAGGAGAAGGCTGTTTGTTCACACTCATAGCTACTTGATAATTCATGCGAAGCTCTTATCTTGCATGGCTATGCTCCCCTATAATTGAGGAAAATGTTTAGGTGAAAAACGAACTTCCAACTTTCTGAAGTGTCGGTTGGTGATACAGAGATATTACAAGCAACATGCTCTTCTTAGATAAGGATGGCTAGGTAACCCAGCGATTAGAACACCTTGGAAGAAAAAGTGAGTGATTGATGTACAATATCTGACCTGGCTAACTTCAAGAAGCGAAATCACTCAGATTATAGACTACTAAATATAATCGGAAAGGTCATCAGACTTTTTTGTGAGTTCTATTCACTTTCATATCTCAGTATACTACACACTTGTGAAGCTTCCACATGAGTCAATGCTTTTGAAGTATTGAACGGACACAATAACTGGTATTTTGGAAATTAGGTTGATAGGCTGAGAAATAGTGAAAATCTGACTACAAAATAACGGTGCCTCCGATTTAATATTCTGGTGCTCTCATCTAATTTTTGTATTATGTAACTGAATCTTCAACAGATACAGTTTTTTGAAAAACAACACTTCTAAGTCCATCTAACCTTGGAGTTATTGACATTCATTAACAATTCATTGATCATAAATCACTTATTCTAAAATGAAATCCTGATGAGAAGACTGCAATCGGTCCTGTTGAAACCATTAGTCTTAGGGTTGGAAATTTTCACCTCACCAATGGGATCAGAAAGCAACAAATATCGTGTAATAGTGTGGTGAGAGCTGTTTGCAAGCCAAAATTGTAGACAACAATTTACGTCAATGTTCACTTCCCGAATCGGGGTCATCAGAAAAAACAATAACAAAGCTTAACCTTGAGGAACTCACCAACCAATCACAGCAGACTTAACGTGTGCAAATACGATTCGCAGACATATATGGTTTAACTTTCTAAGAAACGGTCACAAGCAGTACAGAATAACCTTCAGCAAGAAAACAACCAATCAGAAGAGGTTGCTTCTCCGCTGATAATAATGTACATAAAAATCTATATCACCCGATTTTCTAAAAATAAACGATCTGTTGCCTGGTCCTTGTCTTCTGTCATTACAGTAGTATGCAACAACATGCTATGCATAATTTAACTGCATAATAATAATAATTAGAAATACGTTATTACAGTAATAATTCTTTTCTTTTGAAAAATAAAAAAAAACAAGGCACTAAACTCAACAAGAGAAAAAAATAAATTAGTGAAAATCAGTACAAACAAATTGATAGAAAATAAATATGGCGTAAATGAATGCATTGTTTACTTCTTAGTTAACCTAATCGGAAAAGAAAATAATATACAAAGAATATATATATGTATTGCCAGTGAAAACGTTTCATTTCATACATAGTATTCTTTAAGCTAAGAAATATACCCCTACGCCTAAGCCCATTAATCAATCAGTTTATGTACATACAGGTAAAACACTCTGTAAATAAAGAGAGAAACGAAAAAAAGGGGGAGAAAAAAATTAACAATAATAATAATGATAGTAAATTACAAAGATCTGGTATACTTGTGCAACTATGTATGAGAAATTGATACACTCATTTATTTATTTATTCACATTTACAAAAGGTGTTAGTTGTTAACCATAATATTGTACTGGCATAGTATAAAATAGGAGATTGCATAGTATATATATATGAGATATTCTGTCACAAGTATTTCAGTGCTACCAATAACAAAACTAATTATAATCATAATATAAAAGTAATACTTTTTATACATTAGTAGTACTGTTTAAAAGCGATGCATTTCATAGGTGATAAAGAAATATATTTTCTTAGTTTAACCGGTTGCTGATCAGTTTGTCAATCATGAAGATACTGATGAAATGGATTAATAATTAATGATCAGTGATGATTATGCGATCGAAGATGGAATGACTGGATGATACGATTTAAAAAACGACTAGTTAATGAAGATACATTCTCTTGATTTTGTTTATTTCTGTGTAAATTTGATGTTCCATATGTTGTCTATAGAAAGGAAGATAAAAAAAATACATTTTAGATCTTAACATGCTGGTAGATGAACATGAAAAATAATTAAACAAACACACAGATCATTAAAACTTTCTCATAGGCAAAAGAAACATTTCACCTGAAATATAATGAATATAAACCATTGCGAAAACTAAAATTTGAATAAAGCAACAAGAACATGTTGAGAAGAATAAAATACCGTCAATATCTTGTGTTAGTTTCTCTCACAACTGCATGAACCCATAAACAATTTAATATCAATAAATAAAATATTCGAATATTTTAGTTGCTGATCATAAAGCTGAAGGATATTAATATCACGTGATTAAATAGCATAGTGGAAAGAAATAAAGGTCGTTACTAAACTTGTTAGTAAGGAATACTCTGGGAGGCGTCAAATCAACAGTACACTTAAGTAAGGCTGAAATAATTTACAAGAGTTTGGTTTGTAAGGGCTAGTTTTGTTCTTTACGAGTTGATCACCAATTGATATCAGTTAGAGAACTATTGAAAACCAGAAGGTACTGGAGGGCTGTTTCATCCTATTTTGGGAATCATCGACAGTACGCACCCACTGCCAGGGCTCTAACCAAGGACCTTCCGGTTACAAGGCAAACTCGTATACCATTCATCCTCTGGGAGCCGATTCAATGATCAACCCATATTCCGAGAAACTTATGCTTAAAAGGAAGCAAATATTTACAAAGTGCAATTACCAGACACCTTGTGGATACAGGCCATTCTGTTGAGATTTCCAAATCCTTCAAAATATTAAACATACAAAGGACAGCGAATCTACTACGATTTGCTGAAGCAATTGCAATCAAACGCCTCAGACCAAACTTATGCACACAGAAAGAGAGTGTAGTCAATCTCTCACTCCCTTGGTAACCATATCACTTTCATTACAGTGATTACTCATAGACACTAGTGAGTTCAACTCACTAAGCAAGTTTTCAAATTGATGAACTTTGACCTTGTTGAGTTGCCATGTTGACACTGTTTATTAGATTTTTCTGTTTTCTGTCTTCTCTCACTCCCCCCCCTTTTTCTTTCTTTTTTCCATAGTTTGATAGTATATAAATTGATGGTAACTTAAACTACAAAAAAAATTTTAATCCTTATATTCCGGATGCGTTTATCTTATAATGCTTTCTGTGTTACCTTTCAAACAATGAAGTATGAAATGTCATTATAACCATTGTAATTTCAGGTAGCTTGCAGCTGATGAGAACCTGTGAAATAGAATGATATCATTTTATACTGCAAATCTGGTCTTTCTTTCTCTATCGAAATTTATCAAGGGAACCAAATGTATGAAATTCTAACTTCTACAGATTTGTGATATATTTAGTGAAACCGCCAACCAATGTCACTGGCGAGAAATCCATCTTCACACACTTGAATGGATGAACCTCACTGGTCACGGTTTCTAACTAGTATTCCAGGAAACTCTGTCCTGTAGCAAGTCACTAGCAAGCATCAGAATTATTTTCAAGAGTTCGGTTTGTAAAGATTAGATTTGTCTATTATACGAGTTTGACCACGGATTGTTGTAACAAGAAGGTCCTGGGTTAGAGCCCTGGTGGTGGGTGCGTATTGTCGATGATTCCCAAATTAGGATTAAAGAGCTGTCCAGTACCCCCTTGTTTTCAATAGTTCTCTGACTAATAACAATCTGTGGTCAAACTCAAATAATTTAGTTGAACAAAGGTCAAAAAAGAGTCAGGTCAAGAATATAGATAAAGACAATTTTAGGGTGGGAAATTACAATGTCAAAACAAAATTAACAAAAATGAAAGACAACTAACTACCAAGGCTTCCTTATGGATGCATAAATTCAGTTTGAATCGTTTAATGGTAAATACTTCAGTGATATATAGCAATTTGAAGCTGTCTTGAACTTTATTGATCTTAAAGGATTTTAATGTAACGATTTCATGACCGCCGTCTAACAGGTGGCGGGTGATCGCACTACTGAGGACTTCTGCATCTTTCTGACACAAGTTTTTCGGGATATGCGGCCACAAATCCTATTTTTCTATTCTTACATATGTGTAAATTGATATATGCAGTTGGAGGTAACATGTAAAGGGGACTTGTCAACCTAAGGTTGTCTCAGTGAGCAGTTTATTCAGTAAATTGTAACTAAGTTGGCAGTTGGATAAGTTCGCTTGAAAGGAGCAATTATTTTGTAATGAATCCTTTCAAATATATCATCAATTTAGAATCGAAAACTGAGAAAGATTGGTTTCTTCTCTACTGTATAAAATGTCACTTTTACATTGGGTATTCTCTTGCGTTTATCAACGAATTTTTGAGGATATCCATTGTCTCGTAAACACTTTTACATGGTAGTCAGCTCATCATTAAATCTTTCTTTCGCAAAACATTTTTTCAGTGAACTTGGGATATTTTATGTAGCTTATCGAACAAAATCTATTGAAATTCAGATACGGGCAATTCCAAAATTCTTTATGATGAATACATCTTTGCATACTTTAATCTATATAGTTCGTATGGCTATCAGGGACTATGTTTGATTTCTAGGCATGTTAGTGCGATTTCAGTTTTATGGTAGAATTATTATGCGTCAGGGGAATCTTCATAGAATTAAAAAGAGCAAGAATGGGCGGTGAACACTTAAAATACAGGCCGATGACTAAAAAAATAACCTCCCAAGAATATCCCATATTAGTTTGTTTATTAGATATGTCACACAGTGAAACAGTATTATTTACTGAATGACAAAGTTTCGAACACAATTTATTGTTCATAATCATATCATCAGTTATAATCACACGACTTCGAAACTTCAGTTTTATAGTTTTCTTTGTTCTCTCCTATTTGTCGTAGGGGTAGTATGATTTTTCAGATGTCTGGGACAGGTGTTGAATCATTCCTATTATACATGTTTACAGTTGATTCGATAAACAAAGCTTCCTGTTATCAATCTCTCCCTCTACCCTGTTACATTAGATTTTAAAACTGTCATCTTATCCCATCCTAATGTATAATTGCGTGTAATTGCATGTAGTGCTATAGCTGAATATGTATGTATATTGTCTCATGATAAATTTAATGACAAGATACGTATTTTTCAAAAAAATCTCAGATACAAACTTCTGGTACTCTTAAGGTGAATGCATCAAAGTTAGCCAATAGTGCAGGAGTGAGGGCTCAAATATCTAAAACTAACTCAAAGTACAAATATCTGAAGACATTTTTAGCTTGACTCTTTCTTATGGATGCATGTTGTAAACAACCAACACTTGACAGCTACTCGCCTGTGACATCGGCTGACGGTTGCGCTAAATATATGTCACGAATTGATGGAAGTTGGAATTCATGGATCATTGGATCGGGTTCTAGTGGCTTAATGATCTACGAGGCCATCTATTTACCAGAAAGTTCTGGGTTTGAAACTCGGTAGGTACGTACTGATGAAGAGGTCCAGACTAGGACGAAACAACTGTCCAGTACTCCCAGGTTTTCCAGTTGTTCGCTAATTGATGTCAGCTCTTGATCAGTTTTGTAACCAACCAAAGCTTGATAATTAACACAAAACTGACAAATCGTCACAAGGTATTTAATCCCATACTTTGGCATGCAACCCTATAGTAAGTATCATTTCTGCAATAAGAGCCTAAAGTAAAATAAAGTGAAGAGGTCAAATTGCTGAGTTTCATCAGGGAATACAAATGTCTAAGTACGAATGCACAGACAAGACGAAGCAATAACGTGAGGTTTATTTCCCAGAAAATAAGTTGTCAAATATATCGATGGTGGATTAGGAAATAATGAGTCATAGGAGCATTTTCGTGTATGTCAGATCTACGCTTCAGAAAAATGTTCACACGACAGTAATATATGGAGTTTCTAAAACTCTTACAGGTATGTTTGAAGTGTTTATTTGAAAGGAATTAGTAGTAGTAGTAGTAACCTTTTAGGATTTTGTCTACATTGCTTAATAGTTAATATTAGTATTAATATTATAAGATTTATCATTTAGAAATGACACTTTATTAATTTAACTATATTATCATTTTGGAGTTAAAATCCTCTACCCCTCGTGATTGCATTGTGTGAGACCACCTTTTGACTGATATGTATGCATACACGTCAGTTTGCTTCATATTACTATTAGAATATAATAAAAATTTATTTCGCTCCCAGATGTACTGAGGCTAGAAGGAAGAAGACAATAAATTATAAGATAATAAACAAAACAACACTACATGATGGTTCACAAATATAGTAGACCTATAAGGATCATCTTTAAACTAACCAATTAACAGACAGATGAGTCTTTGTTTAAAAATAAAATCCCACCAAAATTAGGACAGATGTGAGAAGAAGGATCAAGCAGGTTATTGGTCTAGGTACAATAAATAATTAAACTAAACTTTTATTTATCTCAAAGTTTAATATCATATAAAATGCCATAGAATTTCTCAGGACTTTCACCAAAATGCATAAAAGTCATTCAAATAATGTGGGAGAAATCGTTGTACGTTGTATTAGTCTATGATGCTTTTATTCATTCAAAAAGGCAACTGTGAGATCTTCCATAAAAACCAGATAAATACTTTATTAATGTCATACTACTACAAGATACTGATCAGAGGTGGTAGGAGAATTTTGAATAAAACCAGAGTGTTGACGACAAGGTTGCAGGTAACCACTTATCGTATATAAATGATGACTGATCGCCATGTTCACTATGCCTAAATGTATTTTATTTATTTCTAATGTTTTTTCATAAGGTCAATTGAAACTAGACCTGAAAAATGTTTGTCAAATAATTTTTTTAATGATACTTCCCCTCCTTCCAGCCTTTTTTTACATAGCAGAACTTTACTTTTGCATATTCTGAGATAATAAAGGATATCTTTCAATGGTCATTATTATACCACTGATAAATATACAAAATCAAATAATAGTGGGAGGTGTAAGTATCACTCATGACAGCTTAGGCTGAAACAATATTACAAATGTCCAAGTACAGAGCCTTCAAACCGGTGCTTATTCATTATTATTATTTCCTTTAATTCCTAGAGGAACATAGGGTTTCAGCTGCAAGTCTCCATTGCGTTCGGTTCTCTGCTAAAGTTTTCACCTGGCTCCACGTCTGCCCACATATGCTTTCATCTCCTCTTCACAGGACCTCCTCCAAGTCACCCTTGGACGACCAACTCACCGCTTTCCATTCGGGGTTCCACTCGAGCAATGGCTTGTCTAGTGATGTCACTTGATGGTTTCCTCAGAGTATGGCCAATTTACCTCAAAGACGTGATGGTATATATCAATCAAACACCACTTTTTTTCTCCTAATTCCTTTACGTTCCCAGTGGAACATAGGGCTTCAAAATACAGCTTTGAAGTTTCAGTAGCAGTGATGTTTATTTTTTCCGGGGTGAGATTGCTAGCCTTACACCCAACCTCCCCTCTTTGTCGGCATCATAACAGGCTGAGGGAGGTAAAGGTGTGCGTCGGCCAAGCCTCTACAGCTGCACCACCGACGCACAAATACAACTTTTAGTCCGGGAAATAGTCAAGAAGTCAAGAATTGAGCACGCCTATGTTCTAAGACCAACTGGATAGTGAAGGCATCGTCCATACATTTTTGGACGAATAAGAAAAATGAGCGGTGACTGTAACTTTTCTGTTTACAAAAGCTTTAAATAGACATTAGATGATACTATAATCTAGAATTTTGACGACTATTTTGATCAGATTAATTATTGTGAGAATTTAATAAAAGAAAATATCATTCCTTTTTCAATTACTCTAACTGGTCACATGTACTTATTATTATACTTTGAAGTTCAACTAGTGCTAGGCAGATTAATATCCATGAGTAATGGTCTCTATTGCAAGTTTATCATGGTTAACTGATCTTGACTACTTCAAATAACTTGCAACTCCCTGATTCACGCAAGATTGGTCTCCCTCTCTATGAGAAAATTCTACCCACTCTGCAACTGAATGATAAAGAAAAGAAGACTATCATGAAAACTAGTTTTGAATCTTCCCAAGGCCAAATGGTACAAATTCACCATCCTAATCAAATGTCGTCAAGTGGATCCCCATAATTGTTCGTTTGTGTATGCGTGTGTGTGTATCACAATCCTAGCAAAAATCAATGATCTGAGATGCACATATTTGGGTTAGTAAGGCTAGCTCACGGGTAGGGGACACTGACATTCAGTCTGCGATGAGCTTTCAGCAGGATAAAGGCAAGCGTTAAGAGGCTATGGGTATTAGCAGTAACCATAGGCTACAACATAGGAAGCAGTAATTGAAAGGTGTAGATAATTCAAATTAAAGAAAAGTGATATATTAGTGCAACGACAGACATGAGGACACTTTGCATTTGTCCACAAAGTCGAAAACCGTTTCTTTCCAAGACATCATAAAATATGAACTAGATTAGTAGGCATAATCTTATCAATAAACCATAGAATCTAATCAACAGCTGTTGAAGATTATTCGCATACGGCTTTTAGCATTTTTGTAAGCGCTTCGTGTAAACAGCTTTCACGAAAATAACGAAAATCCGTGATGTACGTATAACTGAGATTATCAATTCAAGTCGATGCGAAGGCACCATCAAATGGAGACGACTGTTTTCCTTGAGTAGACACTCCAGTATGGTACAGCTCCAATTTCAGAACTTCAATCATTCTGAAATATTTGAACCCCGGTGGGTGCGTACTGCTGAAGAGTCCCAAAACCAGGACAAAACAGTTGTCCAGTACTCCCAGGTTCTCTAACCAATGTCAGCTCCTGATGAAATCCTGTGACCAATTCTGAAATATCTTGAGTGAATAGTTTTAGAATAGAAAGCAAGGTTAAAATGAGGTCAAACTTTGAGTAATAATCCATATGCTCATGCTTTATTAAAACAAAGTCATACTCACTTCTTCTTTTCTTTTGACGATATTATTGGGAAGATTCCATGATATTGTAAAATGTTTGCGTAGTTCAGAGATTTTATTACTACTTTTTGTATTAGCACATTTACTCGGATCATAACGGTGATTTTCAGACCACAGTGTATGCAGACCAGCATTGCACATCGGTTCACCATTGATGCGTAATTCTTGTTCCAATTCAGATAGTGCTTTGGTCTGTCGCATATCTATAGTTACATAATTTACTTCCTGTGAATAACAATCTCCATTCTGGTCATTAAGTTGGTTACAATTACAGTTTAGAAATTCATTCGTCTCAGATGGAATTGAATGAGAAGATATTGCAGGTGGCAAAGGTTGAACTGAATGTAGATTCTCACAACTGCTGTCTTTTTTCTCTGAAGGTTGAGTTGCCTTTTTATCATGGCGTATACCGATTGTGATACAGTCACTTGGATTATCAGACAACATAAGATGAGCATAGTGTAACTGTGGAGTTTTAGAAGCGACATTATTCGATGTTACTAGTCGTAGTGGTGTTGGTGGTCTGTCAAAGAGTGAAGCTGCTACGATTGGTACAGAGGGTGGAACGCGTGGTAGTGAAAGGCTTTTTGGAATCACAGAACGTTGATACTGTGGCAAATTGGGATCTTGACAGTCTGTTTGTGAACTAATCAGGTATAATAAAAAAAAACAATATCATATTATAAGAAATAAAGAACAACACAATAATAACTCCGTTTTCATGGTGAAATTTCCTAACATTAAGGGATTTTAAAAATCTTCATATAGCGAAAAAATAAAGAAACAATTTAAGGAATTCTTTACAAAACAAAATGCTCATTACATTATTAATCCCTTGAGTGCCGAGTGGAACATATTGGCTTCATCCGCAAATTTCCACTGCATTCTGTCCACTGCAGTCCTCTTCAACCGGCTCCACGATTTCCCATAAGCTTTCATTACCTTCTCTTACGACCTCCTCCATGTTACCCTCAGACGCCAAATTCATCGTTTCCCATTTGGGTTTCATCAGAAGGACTGGCGCGCAACTTCACCCAACGGTTTCGGTTTCCTCAGCGTGTGTTCAAACTATATGTATTTCCTTCTGCATATTTGTTGGATAGCCTCGTTGCCGCAGTTCCTTGCTGCTAATTCTTTCTGGCCAAGTATCTGATCCTCAGAGTGGAGTTAGAGAAGGGCAGCTGTCGATAAATGTCTGTCATAGCCTCTTAGAAACGTTTATCGTGACGCGCCAATTCTCTGGACCATATAGAAGAACTGACTTGATTTTAGTGTTAAAAACTCAAATCTTGTTTCTCATGATGAGTGAAGTAGATTTCCACACTGATTTCAGAGTAATGAAGGTCTGCTTTGGTTTATAGACCCTGCCCTTGGAAATTTCCATCAGTGCAAACTACTCACTAAATTTTCAAGTATTGGTTTTGAAGGGATTTTGTTAGATTGCATGAAGGATTTCATCATGAGCTGACATCAGAATCGGCAGAAGTTAGAATTCAAGGACCATTGGATCGGGTCCCAGTGGCCCAATGGTCTACGAGCTAGCCTTGTAACCAGAAGGTACTGGGTTCGAACCCCGGTGGGTGCGCACTGATGAGTCTCAAACTAGGACGAAACAGCTGCCCAGTACTCCTAGGTTTTACAATGGTTCTCTAACTGATGTCAGCTCATGATGAAATCCTCTATGTATTCACTAAATAGAAAATACCATCAGTAAAAGGATGTGTTCTAAGAGAACCAGAAATAGAGACATTAATTGATAATCTAGGAGTAACCGATATTACATATCTAGTTCTTCAAGTGATTGAATTCTGTTATTCAAGTGTGTATTGTATTCATGCAATGTAGTAGTAGGATGCAGTAGGATAAATTATTAATAACTGGATAACGTTTTGAGCACAATTTATTGAAAGCAATCATATAGAAGTCTTCACACTACCTCCTAAGTATTGCTTTATATATTTATTTATATCCCTTTGCGTTCTGATTGGAACATTATAGGGCTTCAAGGTTGAGCTTTAAAGTTTCAATAACAGTGGTGTTACTTTTCCAGCGTGGGGGTGTTAACCTCACGATCAACCTTCCTTCCTTACTGGGATTCCTGACTGCCAAGCGAGGCTTAAAAGCGCGTCTGCTGAGAATCAAATCCCGGACCACATACATAGTTGGTTAGCATTCTACCACGGAATAACCGGTGCACCAAGTTGTATTGTATGGTTTTCTTCAGTCCCTTTTGTTCTTTACTGAAAATTTTTTCATATATATTCGGAATAGGGGTTGCCTCATGCTTATTGCATGTATTTAATGTCGATTCGGTAATGAACCTCCCTTCTCTGATTAACTGTATTACATTTGAATACTTTTGTGAATACATGCAAATGCATGTATGACGACTACCGACCTTTTTCGAAATTATTTAACTGATTTTAGAATGATTGACCTCGGTAATTTCTATGTAATAGAAATTTAAAAAAGGGTTTGTAGATAATATTCGTTTCGTGACTTCTCGTCAAAACATTAAACATTATTCCATAATATCACGGAAATGTCAATAAAGGTCACTGGTTAATACCAATCAATAACATTAAATATCAGGAAGAGAATAGTGGATAAACCGAGAACCTCAATCAAGTAATCTACGTCTTAATAAACTAACTGACGCTGATGTAATAGTCTGCATGCTCACCGACCACGCAGGTGGTTCGAGGTACGATCCCCGGCCGATGCACTCCTTTACCTCACTAAGCCAGTAATAATAAGACTGGTAAAGCGGGAGGGTTGAGCATGAGGTTAACAACCCAATCCCGTAAAACTAAACACCATTGCTACCGAAACTTCAAGCCTCTATAGCTGGAAGCCTTATATTCCATCGGGAACGTAAAGGAATAAAAAAATTATATTATTTTGTCGAATTAGATCTGCTGGATATACGAGTCTGAGTGAGTTAACTGATACCAAACTTATTATGAATCCAACGTAGGATGTTTGTTGTTCACTCCCTACATAGTACTATACCATCAAGGCTTCGATTTCTTTATTATTTATATATATATCATTATTTCTGTTATTTACTTTACTACTGTTATTTTCCTTATTGCTTTAAATGAAATGTTGAATGAATTCAAGTCAGTAGTTCGTAAGTAGTATAGTCCTCCTTATTTCTTTGAATTCTTGATATAAATTTTCTAACTCACTGGGCACACTCATAGTTAGTTTGGCTGCATCAATATTTGACTAAATCCAATTTTACATAATTCTGAATGGGATGATTTCAAGTCTAAAGTATATGTTAACAATATGATGATTTCTTATAAATACCGGTATCTAAACTGAATCTTTTTTTCAAATGAATTTTAGATTTTCCCGTCGATGGATTGGACCCAAGTGCTCGGTCTCAGGTTGACATGTCGGCTTCTTGAGACAATGTCAACCTGAGACTGAGCACTTGGGTCCAATCCATCGACGGGAAAATCTAAAATTCAATTAAATCAATGTGACCCGTTGGACAAGAGGTTGCTGTCGTGGCCCAAGTGGTCTAGTGGATAACGTTGTGGCGTTTGAAACTATGGGCAATGGGTTCGAGCCTCGGTGGGAACATCATCACTCACTGAGAAATGCAGGTACATCCAGATGACGAGTCCCAAATAGGACGAAATGCACCTCCTGGATTCCACTGCTAGTCACCATCCACCAATTAAGTGAATTTAATACATACAATAGGAATGCAATAAAAAAACCCAGAAGGGATTAAAGAATGCCATATAGAGTAAGTTAAGAAATTATGTGAGTATACTGACTGATATGATGATTATGAGCAATAAATTGTGCTCAAAACGTCATCCAGTCAGTTATTACTAATCTATTGCTGTGTGTGTTATGAAAAATAAACTTATTCAGTCGCGCTATGCATAAATTCCACTTTAAAATTAGTTAAGGGAACTCGGCTTCTATCACATATTAGTAACTATGTTATCCAGTGTTACAGTTAGCATATTTTCCACCGCTCTAATCAGTTTTTTTTTTTACTTTTTTTATTACAGCTTGATTCCACTCCGTATTTTTTGTTACAGGTATGGAGTTTTCAGCATGCGATATCGGTAGCCCAAATTTTGCAGGTGTGCGTCGGGAGGGGATCGAACCCCGGACCATGTGCATGGTCGGCGAGAATCCTAACCACTGTGCCACCGACGCACACAGTTGACAACTGAACCTTCCTAAGATAGGCTGGACTGACAAAGAAACAAAAGTGTCACAATTGGAAGAAATATTAAACAAAATAAGACAACAAGAGTATAATGCTATTGTAATATACAAACACACGAATGTGAAAGAAAGAATGATTACATAAAGATTACCGATACTGTTCAGAATCCAGGGCAAAATAAAGAACAATGCACACATCTGCACCATTATGAAAGTGTTTGAATCATGTCACCAATAGTCTTCAACTATCCATTTATAATATGCAAAGGACCTTATCTGAGTTACGTGGACCAATGATCAATAACTTCATGAATTTTCGATTTTGATTTGAATATTCCTAACCTTTCAGCTAGTATCATCAGTTGACAGTGTAGTCTTCCTAGAGGTATCCAGATGTAAAGGGTATGTGTCTCAGCCACCTCCAGAGTAAAAATGTAGGTCTTAACAAGATGGTTTTCTAGTCAATATTAATCCGCGATCAAACTTGAAAAAAGTGAAATTCCTACAATTAGTCTGATGCTCACTATTGACTGATTACAGGACGAAGTTGCCTGGAGTCCAAGTGAGCAGTCGTGATCAGTGGGGTCCAGCAGGTTGGATTTGAAGACTAATACTCGCTGATGATATTAGCTGGTCATTGCGCAAAATTCGCAAATTAACAGAAATTAGAATTCACGGGTCATTAGATTCCGTCCTATTGGTTGAGTGGTAGACGAGCTCGCCTCGTAACCTGAAGGTCCCGGATTAGATCCCCGGTAGGGTCATATGTGCGTACAGAGGAAGAGCCCAAAAACTAGGACGAAACAGCTGTCCATTACTCCCTAGTGGTTTTCAATGGTTCGCTAATTGGTAACAATTCGTGATCCAACTCGAAAAAAAATGAAATACCTACAAACTAACTCTCCAATCAATCGACGGGAAAATCTAAAATTGAATTCAATAATTAATCAATAAGACCCGTTGCACAAGGGGTGGCTCTCATGGCCCAAATGGTTCAGTGGATAACGCTCTGACGTTTGAAACTATGGGTACTGGGTTAGAGCGTAGGTGGGAACACTACCACTCCCTGGGGAATACAGGTGCACCTTGCTGACGAGTCCCGAATAGGGCGAAATGTACGTTGACTTGAATTCCACTGCTAGTCACTATCCACCAATTTACTTCAAGTTAAATAATCAAACATTATCGAAGCATCTGCACAAGGAGCCAACATTTCAACCTGAGACCGAGCATTTCAGTCGTATCAATCGACGGGAAAGTTTAAATTGAATTAAATAATTAACCCCTCAAAATATAAGAACAAACATCTCAGTATTGGTAAATTTGGGTAGTTCAAAGATAACACGCACACGCACATACAACATGTACAAACAAACAAACAACAGTGGAGACATCTTAATTCTTTCTTATATTGCACTGACAATGAAAAAAATGCATACTGTTTTAAATTTAAAATTACTCTATGTCACATTGGATTAATTAGTCTAACATAATCTATCTATCTAGGCTACATTACACTGGTCACATGACATTTTCACTAGGATATTTTTATGACAGAATGAGTAAACAAATTGCTAAGATATGAGTTTTGTTATTATTATTATTATTATTAAATCAAGCTGTTTTTGATTAGGCTGTTTGTGTGACATGACTATTTTGTAAAGACCAATATATTTATTGATTTACACACTGGAGTACAGTGTGAGCACAACTCTTAAGATTTACAATCTAAAAAAAAGAAATTATACAAATGTTTTCAGGGGACTGAAAAAATATAGTGTTATTTTATTGTTTCATTCGGATGATCATTCACACAAATCACACTGAAACAATCAATAAGAAACAATTTAAGGAAGACGTAAATTGATTGCATAAAGACTTTCACAAAAAGAGAAGAGAAACTGAATAAATGTTGAAAATATATTTGGAAAAAGTGGTATATTCCTCTGTAGAAAAAAAAAGAAATAAGCATTCTCCACGCCTTCTAAATTTTTTCCTATTCAGAAACTGAATTTGAACTTAGAATTAAGACTTGAATGTTTAGAACATTTTGATAGTGTTACTAATAAGCTGTGCTTTAAGATTAACATGCTTTGTAAAAAGTCAGTTCAACTTTTCTCAATCCTTTAGGTTGCTGCATAAACTAGACCTGAATAAACTCGACAAATAGTTAGTAGCAGCCTATATATATGCATGAAATACATAGAAATATCACGATAAATCGTCTGTATCGTACTCATGAGGCCGAAATTGCAAAGCTTCATCCATCATGTGTTACTGCACGTCATTGAGCAATATCCTCGGCCTTCACAAACGTGTGTGAAGTGGTATAATAAGGTGAGCAATATTGAGGTTAGGCGTCGAGTGCTAGGTAAAGAGGGGAAATCAGTCGACGAGACTGTGAAATTACATCGACTGAGATGGTTAGGACATGTGTTACGTATGCCTAGTCATCGCCTTCCTCGACGGGCAATGTTAGCTGATATAGCGTCAGGCTGGAAAAGAGCTAACGGCGGTTAAACTAAAACATGGCACCAGTCAATGAAATCTACAACAGTTAGTTTAAGCTAGCCACGTAGGAAGGTGTAGACTTCCTGGTTGGGGTCCTCGGGACGGTAAAAACCAATGGTTGGAAACAATTGGTGACATGGCTCAAAATCGTTCTCAATGGCTGGTGCAGATGCATACACTCCTTGTGACTTACGATTTCCAATGAAACTGTTTTGTTCTTCGTTATTATTACTATCTTATCTCACACCTCTATTTACTGTCTCTATTATGCATTTCTTCTACTTTCTTCTCTTGCTTTGTGTGCTACATGGAGTGTGGCGACTCGAACTGCCGCACATCGGTGCAAAGTTCTATGTCGAAAACAGACAGACAGACAGACTTCACAAACATTTGATCATGGGTCCAGACCGTATTCCAATCACTGAGGTTTAAGCGACCTTACAGTATGATAATCTCTAGCATAATAATTCGCTCATTGCCATGTGAGTATAGTTTCATCCAACTTACAGCTTAGAAATAAGAATTCAGTTATTTCTAAAAGATTTCGATGAAAGGCATATGCATAATAATTATTTTCCAAAAATGACACTCACCTGGATAATTGAAGAGGACATGGTTGATCAGATGTAGACTCAAAATTTGGCGGTGAAAGATTGATATAGTAGACTTTTGCTTCTGAATGGTTTAGAATTGTGAATCCACTCCTTCGTAAGCCCAACAAGTTTACATAAGTTTCAGGATTACCCAACACAACATGTGTACCATCTGATAACTCAAAAATCCTATCACCACTGAATACTTTGCTTGTGTCTTCTACATTTTGTTTCTTATCAGTGAAATCACTTTTTTCAACAGATTGTCCAGGAGCACCTGAAGTCACGACAGATGAATTTTTTTCATTTGCTGGTTGTAACTCAAAATTAAGAGGGCTTGGAGGCATATTAATGTACGATCTGTAGAAGAAAAACAATCCGGTTGTCAGAGAATATCAGTGATATTTTGAAGTATGATCTAATCAATGCATACCATTCAGTGTACACAGTCTCAACATACACAGAAAACTTAAATCTTATACAGAATGGACTATTCTCACTTTTCAAAAGAATAGACACGGAACAAAGAGTACTCTTTTCGATAAATTCATCATCAGGTTCTACAATTATATATACATTATAATGAATGAATGAATTAGTCTTATGAACGATATTAATGTTTAAATAATATAAAATCAATAATATTGATAGATTAGAGCTGAACAGCATCAACATAAAATAAACTGAATGTCAGAAGAATTAGGAAAGGCAATAGTACAAATTCTCAGTTTACCTACAAGTTTAGAAGTCTCTAACAGCAAACACTTTACGGAGCATCATAATTACAACTTCAGTCTTAGCTTTCATATACTATACGTAAATCTAGAAATAATATACCCTTTTAAAACTTTCCTTATAGTCCAGTAATATTACATAAGGTTTGATATTACTGGAACAGAACGATACCTTCGAATTAGACAATATGGTTATTATCATGCACAGGCCTGCACAGAATTCGATGGAGAATGTGGGTAGGGTCAGTAAATCGCAGATTAGGTTCGATAAAGGTTATCCTTATTTTTCATTTCCTCCAACGCTAGCCAACTGTTGGATGATTATGAAATCTAGAACCTTACGAGAATATCGACTTGTTTCATTCTTATCTAGTTATTACAGGGTAATTTCCTCATTGTTCTTTGAGTACAGTGTTAGACAGTGTGAATGTTACCAAGTGAAAACAATTCTGAATACCATACTACTACTACTACTACAGTTAATACCTCGCTTAATTTAATCAGCAATTCCTAATTGACATTCTTAAAAAAAAATCTGGAAGCAGACTCGCAAGTTCTGCTTTAATACCTTATTTTAGCTCTTAAATAATCTTAACTTAACTAGAATTCCCTAGACAACGTATTAGGGAGAAATCGTGGCTTTGATTTTACGTGGTAATGTGGTGAGAGCTGACTGCTAGCCAAAGTTGGTAGACAGTAATTGACGTCTATGTTCATGTCCCCAAAATTGGTGGTGAGAAAATCAGAACAAAGGCTTTGCGTAGGCGGATACAGTTAGCTTATGGATGATCTGACACAGCCACAAACAGATGCAAGGTTAACTTTCTGTGAGAAACAACCAATCGAAAGACTGTATTTTCTACTAACAATAATCTACAATAATGTACATTAAAATCTATAAATATGTGTTGATTTTCCTAAATAAACGATCTGTTGCCTGGCCCTTGTCTTCTGTTGTTACAGTAACAGTCATTCTCCAACAGAGACAGAAACATTTCTTTCCCCATACAAATTTAATACATGCAACAGAGGAGTTGCATAATAAATGCAGAAGAAGTGTTTCTTGTACAAAGGAGGTAAACATGTTGTTGTTTTTTTGGAAGCTTCACTGTGTCTCTCAACTCGACAATGTGCAAAGAAGTCAACTTCATTGGAAAAAAAAGTGTGGCCATCAAATCTATAGGATATACGTCTAACAAAACGGCCTTCAGTACAGGTGATCTATATTTAGAAAACAAGAGAAATACTGAAAAGCTAGATGATACGTTTCATACTGATAATCACTAATCTAATATACCTTAGTTCAAAGAATTTCACTCGGTCACCATATCAACAAGCGTGGTGACCGTTATTTTAAAAGAAGCAAGGGCTGTGAAAAAAAGCAGTATTTAATGAAATAATAAATAATAATAGTAATCACTTTATTCAAAACAATAATTAATTCTATATAATGGAATTTTCAGTGTGTTTATACACATTGCATCAATTTAGCGCCTTTTATAAATATGTACATACATAAAATTTAAAATAGTAATAATAATAATACTATTAATGGTAAAACCACTATAAACAGAATTCTGGTGGAAACATAATGAACTATAAATAAATAATATCACAGATAATACGTTTAATAACAATAATCTTTGCTTATACTTTGCAGTTCAGATTACTGAGTTAAAAAGTTTATAAGTTCTTTACTGACATCTGATTCTTCATACAAAATCCATGCTAAATATGGTAAGGTAGAATATTTATACTTAGTTGTACGAGAGTGAATTCTTATGAAATTTCTTCTGGTTTTACCCGAAGAGATACAAGGAGAAAGTTGAGAATAAAGAGGAAGTTCCGTATCAAACAAGATAACTTTAGCCAAATGCTTGCAAAAATTGAAGTGCTTATTGACAATAATGTCGGTTAGCTGAGTCAAAGATACACCACTAACCCTACTTACAGCTTGCAGTGTTCCATGTAATATGACAGTCTTTTTTGAGATGTCTAGGGAAGAATAGTGGTGAACAATAAAGGAGAATGGGCAGAATACATGAATTAACAAATTGTAAGAGAAGAGGTTGAGTTATACCAGAAAGCGTCAACTTCTTTATGTAATAAGTTGAACGAAAAATGTTCTTAGAAATCAACAGGATGTGAGACGACCAACAGAGATTCGAAGAGAAACTGATACCGAGATGAGAGATATTCGATTTACTCCCTATCACAGTGTCGTCAATATTAAAGGAATCATGTGACTGAGGCAGTCCACGCAAGTCTTGTCCGTATCTAGAACTAAAATCAGTAATATGACATTTAGGTGGATTTAATTTGAGACTATTTAGGTGAGACTATTTGTTAACTTCAGACAAGAATTTATTCATATAAGAACAATCCAAAGCAGAAACTACTGGGACAAATATGGTAAGATCATCGGCACATTTAACGAAATTAGCTTTGGAAAAGTATGGAAGGTCATGCAAAAAGAAAGAAAACAGAAAATGGAGAGGGTATAGCGCCTTGAGGCAAACCAGTTTCCATTAGCAACAAAGTGGAGCACTTTCCATTCAAAACAGTATGTTGTTTTCTATCCGAAAAATAAGAAAACAACCACCTTGTAACCCAGCTGGACTCAGTTTTTGCTGAAATCAGCTCGCTTAGTAAAAGTGCCCTAGGAAGAGAGTTAAACGAAGCAGTGTAGTTTGAAAAGGAGGCTCGAACAAACTTTGTGCCTCTATCAAGACTTAAAACAATATTGTGGTGGAGTACAACAACGGCATCTAATGTGCTTCAACTATATTTGTAGGCAAACTGCTTTGGGTCATTAAAAGATTTCAAAGAAGGTTTAAAAACATCCAAGAGAAGTTTCTCCATAGTTTTCAGAAATGGAGAAGTGATAGCGATCGGCTTAAACTTTAGACCTGATCAAGAAGATAAATTTGGTACAGGCACCACCTTTATTTCCTTCCAGACAACAGGTACTGTATCCCTGTGAAACAATGCATTAAATAATTGAGTGCGAGGATAGCACAAACTGTCAGCATACTTTTAAAGCAATTCGATAGGACTCATCAGCTGAATACTTTACAATTTTCTAAGGTTAAATACATACAAGCACACGAATATTGTAACAACAGATAAGTAAGAAATTGTAAAACAAAACAACAATGTCTGTAGAGTATTCCGACGACAAATCAGTCCTACCGAAATTTATGAATTCATTAAATACCGTGATTTTTTTTCACAGTTCATGCCTGTTTAAAATTTACTACGGGAAAGAAATATTTGCAACCGTTAATTTGTTTATGCTTAATAAATACAAAATGGACATCCAGTGGTATGAACTCAGATAACTTCAACTACTGTAGGCTTTTTAGACAAAACTTCACATAAAGAATATTCTCCAAGGAAAGTAGACTATCCAAAAGAACAGAAACGAAAAGTGAACTATTTTTCCTAATCATAATAATATAATTATTATTGTTTCCTTTAATTCTTAGAGTAACATAGGGCTTCAGTCGTGCGTCTCCATTGCGTTCGGTTCTCTGCTAGAGTCTTCATCTGGCTCCAAGTCTGCCCACACGTTTTCATCTCCTCTTCACATGACCTCCTCCAAGTCACCCTTGCACCGACGACCAACTCGCCGCTTCTCTTTTGGGTTCCACTCGAGCAGTGGCTTGTCTAGTGATGTCACTTGATGGTTTCCTCAGAGAATGGTCAGCCAATCCATCTCCATTTCTTCCTGCCTATTTGTTTCACAATCGGTTCCTGCTCGGTTGGTTCGCTCCCAGAGATCTCTGTTGCTGATCTTTTCTGGCCATCTGATCTTGAGTATTGAGCGAAGACAACTGTTAATGAAGGTCTGTAGTTTGTTTGAGATGCTCTTTATGACGCGCAGTGCAAGTCTCTGATCCATATAGTGAGTAGCACTGACTTCACATTGGAGTTGAAAATCCGGATCTTGTTGTTGATACTGAGTGCTGTTGACCTCCACATAGACTTGAGAGTAGTGAAAGCTTGTCTTGCTTTTCCGATTCTTGCTTTGATATCCTCGTCAGTTCCGTCTGCCTGTAGTTGAAACGATGCTTCTTAGGTAAGTAAAAGAGGTTGTTTCTTTCAGGTTCCTTCCATTTATGCTGATTGTTGTCTGTTAATGTTGTTGCTGTTGGTGGCGTTACCCAGGAATCTTGATCACCTCTGTTTTCTCTATGTTCACCTGAAGTCCCTCCTATCTTTGATGCTTCTTCTGACAACTTGTTGCTTTTCACTTGCATATCTTCCAGTTTGTGAGAAATCAGACATATATCATCGGCAAAGTCCAGATCCTCCAGGTTTTTTGTGTGAGTCCATTTTATGCCTGTTTCCTCATTGCCCGCTGTTTGTCGCATTATCCAGTCTACTGCAATCAGGAAAATCATTGGCGATAGTAGGCAGCCTTGTCTTACTCCTGTCCTCACTTCGAAGGGTTGCGTAAGTTTCCCGTTGTGGATTACTTGGCATTCAGCATTGTCGTACAGCTGTTGGATGAGATAATAATAACAGTAGTAATATTCGAATCACCATGTGAAACATATCAATGTACTCTATAGCATGAACTCTGAATTCATTTAGATATATTTCCAAAGAAAAGTAAATATTAATCGGAATCCTCTTAAATGCTAATCGTATACAGACTTGCTAAAATGAACTTATCAGTACAAATACGTAATGACTATCAATTAAGATTACTTAAACGATTGCATAATGGCATATATGCCATTGATTGCTACGAATATTTGGAGGTCATTCACCTAACCAGACAGAATTCAGGTGATATGAATTAAGTTGACTTTTAAACATCTCCTCCTCTAGTCTGTTCTTCCAGTGATAAGATCATTTCGATTTGGTTGGCAAACTACAAAAACTGGTTGACCTGAGGGGTTTTACTAACTACTTTATATTAATCAGTAGTTATACTTGCTTTCTTCATGGGTCATTTATAGTATTAGGAGGTAGATTATGTATTGTGATTTGAATATTTTGGATCTGAAGTATTCCTACGCTAATTTCGAAGAAAGAATTTACAGTTTCTACATCATCTACATACAAAAATAGATAAGCATCTCAACCTGGTGGTATATTCTAGGAAAGTTAGCTGCTATATAGATGTGGCAATCGATATATATTGTTACTACAAACTCAAAGTTGCTGAGTGAAAAAGATAAGAATCTACGGAGGTGGATTGTTGTAAAGCATTCTTTATTATCTGTTTAGAAATGAGCAAATTGTTTTTTTTTAAGAATTCTTTCAAAAGTTAATCACATTGATATCATAAAGAAAAATAAGAATGGTAATCAATGTTAATGTTAATGCAAGAATCGGAAAAGCAAGACAAGCTTTCACTACTCTCAAGTCTATGTGGAGGTCAACAGCACTCAGTATCAACAACAAGATCCGGATTTTCAACTCCAATGTGAAGTCAGTGCTACTCACTATATGGATCAGAGACTTGCACTGCGCGTCATAAAGAGCATCTCAAACAAACTACAGACCTTCATTAACAGTTGTCTTCGCTCAATACTCAAGATCAGATGGCCAGAAAAGATCAGCAACAGAGATCTCTGGGAGCGAACCAACCGAGCAGGAACCGATTGTGAAACAAATAGGCAGGAAGAAATGGAGATGGATTGGCTGACCATTCCCTGAGGAAACCATCAAGTGACATCACTAGACAAGCCACTGCTCGAGTGGAACCCAAAAGAGAAGCGGCGAGTTGGTCGTCGGTGCAAGGGTGACTTGGAGGAGGTCATGTGAAGAGGAGATGAAAACGTGTGGGCAGACTTGGAGCCAGATGAAGACTCTAGCAGAGAACCGAACGCAATGGAGACGCACGACTGAAGCCCTATGTTCCTCTAGGAATTAAAGGAAACAATAATAATAATCAATGTTAATAAGCACAGTCGTATTAGTAAATTCAGTTGACTAATGTAACCAGTAACAGTGGTAGGTAGCATTCATACATCGACAGCAATACAGGAACAGATAATAACCGTGGTACTGAAAATAAGTAAAACAGATTTTTAAAAATCCTCAACTAAACTTCTGTCGACAAAACGCCTGCCTGGTACCCAGAAGGTCCTGGCTTCGAAACCCAACGGATGTGTACTGCTGATGAGTCCCAAACGAGGACGAAACAGATGTCCGGTACTCCCTGGTTTTTAATGGTTCTCTAACTGATATCAATCTGTTGTTTAACCTGAGACAAATAGAATCCCTACAAACCAATTTTTGAAAGGGCAACTTATAATATAAAATATACTTACCCAAGTGGAATAGGTAATGATGCATTATTTTTGCATACTGTAAGAGAATCAGAAGATAAGTTGAAATTACATCCATTTGTTGTTACAGGATTATGACTTGGTGCCATAGATTGAACAGCATTACTTGGTAACTTCTGTTCACTATAGGAGGTTGCATTTCCTTCTGTTGAATTATTTGAACTTGTACCACCTGTACCGCCTGAATAAATGACCAAAAAGCAGAATTTTCAATTCAACCAATAGAATTACCTAGTCAACCAGTATAGAGAATAAAAATAGTTTTTCTTAAAAAGAATACTTTACATAGAGTGATGAAGTAAATCACATGAGTGGCTGCGTGTAGGACAAACTACAGTCTTGGGTTGATTCAAGATATGTTTATAAATTCACTTGCTCATATGAAGCTAGTTACATTGGCTGTACAAAGTACAAACTTTCCAAACACATCTCTGAACATTATTCTGCATGGTTATCAGGAGGATAGTGAAAGAAGCTTATTAGCTCGATTTTCGAGCACCTGGCAAACTCACGTCACGTGGCTCCACCACAGTCGTCTTTTAAAATTATCTACAAAGCATAACTTAATGGTACAAAGGGTGTTAGGTTAGAGCACTTGTGTATGGCTAAGGCGCTAGCAATTCGTCAATGAAACTCTGAACTTTGTATACAGAAAATTTTTGTACAGTCTCTTATTCTACCATGATCCTGATCTCCTTCTTAATCGTTCGCTTCTATTTTTAGTAACTAACTCATTATTACCACTCTTCGAGGTTCCTTTTGTGCATTTCACTTACTTCTGTCATCCTCTTTACACTTGTCAAATGAACACTCAACTACCTTGCTTCTTATCGAATAACAATCTTCACCTTGTCAAATTCAAACCCGCGTTTCCTCTGTTTCATTAACTATTACATAATTTCTTTTTATCTTTGGAGACGGCTTCTGAGTAGTTGTATCAGTTACATTACTCCGACCCCCTACCACCACTACTCAATAATAGACGTTTTGAGTAAATAGAATTGACTGCACAGCCTTTGAAAATGACCTCGTCCGCATAGAAAACTTTCTTCGATGAGTTGTCTGTTATTTTCTTCATAGTTCAACACAGAATTAGAAGTACTCGGTCAAATCAAAATACCATATTGTTAGGCATTATTATACTTTAGGAAATCATATTCGATTTTTGTAAGTAATTCACACAGAACTTATAAAGTTCAAAATTGTGACTGCTTCGTATTGCTGGGAAATCCCCGTTAGGATATATAGAAAATTAAAAATAAGTGGTTCAGTGAAGAGACTCAAAAACTATCCAGCGTGGTTACGAAGAGGTGGAAGTAGGGTTATAGGAAGTGCAATGATTGAACATTTGGTCGATACTGGTCACCTCATATCAACAGCCTATCTATAGGGAGAAAAAATAACCTGCCAAAGTCATTACCTGTCCGACTAATCTGTATTGCTGAAGATTGGTCATCGAAATAGAAAAGCTAGAGCTTTGTATGTTCTACGACTTTTTTCATAGTCTTAGTCCATCTCTGTTGAACTATTATAATCCTCATTTTTACCTTGGCTCTGCTTATTTTTCATTTTGTTTATTCAATCTGTATATCCATTCCCTATTGATTCGATTATTAAAATTATTTTCTCTCTGAACAATTTCCGGTCTTATCATAATATTCTCACCTTGTTGCGTAGTGGTTTTAAACGCCTATTCATCTTATGAATTCTGTACCCCCCCTTCTAAGATTTATACACTCCATGGACTATTTTATATATAGTACATAGTTTATTGTACACCTTGATAATGAATTCGTTGAAGAGTCTCTTTGCTGAATCACTTGTTTCAATTTTCTACATGATTCATATTGCCTAATGATGTGCTAACCTACAGCCTAAAAGAGACTTATACACCCTTTAGGTTTTCAGCTCACAAGATGCCTCAACTTATTTGTCGATATAACCCAAACGAATACCTTATAATTAAAATTATCTGCAATATAAAACCTCGCTTATAATAGTTGCTACATTTAAGTAGTTATTTATCACAGATGATACATAGACCGAACAATACTTGCATGATCATGTTACCAGCATGACAAGGTGGTGCATGAGCTGAACATTTCAGAAGAGAAAGGGGAATCAGTGATTGAATAAAGTATGTATTCTGTGAATATAATTGAAATAGTATATAGCTAGACAGAGTCATTTATTTCTGTAAAATGACAAAGGAAATTCATTGGCTGTAAACAATAATGGCCTTGACAGGATTGATACAAATTCTGACAGCCAAATTAAATTAAAACACAGTGCATCACTGTACTGTACATCAGTTAGTCTAATATTCGCGTAAAGCTCCACTATTCATCTGTTAAAAATCTAGTGACCTTGACTTCAGATTAGAAGAAATATGTACAAGTAAACGACGGGTAAATTATATTCTATCATTGTAGGTTGAATTGTTTATTAGTTTCTTTGCAATTCACTCCTGGGTGTGAACTCAGTCATACTATTGTTCGCATTGTCTAATACAAATATTGACGAATATACCAAATTTAACTTGGCTTTATGTACAAAATTATCCTTATTCATTATAACAACACCAGAACGTTTGTGTGGTCGTAGTATCATGATATTCTCATTATTCGTGTAAGTGTAAAACTTGGACACTGCGACAGAATGTAATTCCATGCTAGATAAGTTTGAAATAAAACAATGTTAATAATTGGATGACGTTTCGAGCACAAATTGTTTTTCATAATCCTGTCTCCGGTATAGGTAATGCGTCATCTCGATTGTCCGTGTGTATGGTGTTATATCGACAAACAAGGATTCAGTGATTAACCTCTCCCCACCTAACTATATTACCTTTTAATACTTTCACCCTGCCGCATTCTATTGTGTGATTACATGCAAGTGAATGCAATGCAATAACCAAACTTTTTTCTACGTCTAGCTAAATTTCTATGTTCCAATAATCTAAATGACCCTGATCTACTCTAGATTGACTGATCTATGTAATTGACCTTACAGTCATCAAAGGGTGTTGTGCAAATTATATTATTTTTATTAATTAGATCTATCAGGTCCTTAAGCCGACAATATGGAATTCTCATTATTCATTAGATTCTTCAAAGCTGGTTAATGTATGAACTGATTGGAAATATCAGCCAGTTTGGATCTTAACCAGCATTGTGCTTCTTCATTTATTTTTTTTGACTCAGTCAAATGGCCTTCTGAATCGATTCTACCATAGTTTCTTAGAATATGAGATTTTAAAACCGAGCGAAAGGGGATTAGTAAGTTATGATAACTGTACTGCTCTGCACATACACACATCTTGATAATCCTTTTACTCACATTTAAAGTAAACAGTGAAGTATTTAATTAAATATGAAGATATACTCACCAGGACAGTTTGAATTGTCCCCGAAATGAGAAGACAAAGTATCTGATGAATTAGGTGGAGAACGATTGTTAAAACTCTCTTGATGTTTAACTTCTGAGACAGACGACAGTTGTCGCTGTTGTTCAGCACGACGAGATAAAATCTCCTCTCTGGAAACATATAGTTTACCAGTTCTTGGTTTAGCAAATGTAGGTGCATTAGCCCAAAGTGGTATAAGACTAGATGACAAAGAAACAAGAGAAGACTTAATACTTCCTCTACCACTTGTTTGACAGTATGTATTTAGAGAATCAGGAGAATTATGTGAACCATCATATGCTTGATTATGGCAACTTGTTGTACTTTCACATGTGCTATGCGTATGTTGACGTGTTCTTATACATTGGCTTCCTGGAATAACAGTCGGTGTAACTTGATATGGCATATAAACATGATGAGTGCTATTTCCTTTGGATTGACGATGATTTAACTCAGTTTGGCGTCTATTATTGGTAAATATGTTACTCAGTGTGTGACCATTAGTGCCATTTCCTATAAAAGAAATATGCGAAATAACATAGTTTTTCATAAAGAAAATTATATAAAAGATTAATTCATGAAA